TTGGTGAAAAACCTTCGCCAGAAGGGTGACAAATGCGGATGTACGACTATCTGCAGTGACGAAACCAACAAGTTCCAAAAAACTGGATTTCGGTAGCTCATTCTTTATATCCATACTGCACACATACTGCACAATAAGCAAGCACTGAAAAGTAAAAAATTTTTACCTAAAGCAGTTATGTGCAGACAAATGAGCCAGAAGCAAAGTGCCTCGGACACAACAACTCTCAGCATTCCGCCCTTCCTCCCATCTTTTCGCGACGCTTGCTAAGTGGCAACAGTGCTGAGCTACCACTTCGAACTTGGCACATAAGCTAGCACTTCCAACTTTTGCACATATTCGAAAACTATAGATACACTGAGCTCCAAAAATTTTTGCTGCTCGATACTACAATGGCAATGAAGAAGTAATTGCTGGGCGGAGGAAGGACGTACTTCAGTATATGGAAGAAGAAGCGGTGAATGTCGAAATACCATAGCACGCGTGTCTTTGAACAGCCAAAGAACACAAGCTTCCAGTAAGAAGATAAGACCGAATACCGAGTGATAAAGGAGAGCCCAGAACTGAAACGGAACTCAGCCTTACAAAAAAATAGCACAGTAAGGAGGAAAATGGAACAGTGAAAAATAAACAATACGCGAAACATGGGCAATGCGCACTGACCATCATTGCAAGCAAAGCGAAGACATAGCAGTGGTGCAGGAGAAATGCCAATGCTGCTGCCAGTCCTTGCGATGTTGCAGTTTCCTTGCCACCAGCACCTGGAACTCAAAAAATTATCAATAAAGCAATTTTCAGTGAAGACTGTTACTCACTCAAAATACGCAACAAATATTGGCATCCCTTTCACGCAAAACGTCGAAACGGCTTACCGACAAGTAAAGCTGTAATTTTGCGGCGATCCAATTCGGAGGCAGAGATCTTCTGTAACGGCACATTCTCAGAATGCTGCAAATCGTCTTCATCTGTCAGCAGCTGCAACTCAATGAACTAACGCCTACACAAAACGATTCAGTAAATGAGTGTGTTCGAAAATATTCGTGGGAAAAAGTGCGGTGAACAGAGCAGGTCTCTGCAGTGAACAGCGTGCATCTGCATACAGACGGAAAAAAAAGCTTTGAGCTGCAAGCGAATACGGACACACCAACTCTCAATTCATCCCTTTTTCGAGATTCTGTGAATAAAGAATAGAGCAATTTTAGATGAATCTGTATCGGACGGATCAACACCAACATGCTGTTCGCCGCCGAATAATGGAGGCATTTTCACAGCTGGAAAAAAGAGCAGTACAACGAGCAAGAAGGAGTGGTGCGCCCGCAAAAAGTGGGAAAGTAAAATGCTGCAAATTTTATGGAATCATGCTTGTGTTCGGGAATGATTATGGGCTTATGGTTACCGAATTTTCACGCCGATCCTCCACCTCCTCCTCAATCCCAGCAGTTCTTTCATCAGGCCACACTTCTGCTGTTGCACCAGCCCCTTGGGAAGCTCTGTACACTGACATGGCCACATTCTAGAACGTAATTTTATAACACAAAATGCAAACTGAAGCACAAATAAAAAAACGACCAAAAATTGCAACACGCGAAAAATCCGCCGCCTGCACCATGTGCTACTGCGAGGATCGCCGCAGACCAACCAGTGCAACACAGTCCAGGGCATTAAAAAAAGAAAAAACATCTCTGGGGCAACAAAATCTTCCTCTAATATTATGTCGGTCATTTGCCAAGCTGACCC